GTATTCTAGTACTGTGAATCTAGATAGGAGCATGTCCAAATTCGTAGTATTAGGATACATCCCATTTACCCAAAATCCCTTATATTTTGGGACGGAGGGAGTAGATGTCTATACAGCAGTCCATTAAAAAAATTATATTTTAAAACTAGTTCATTGGAACCCATATATATACCAGTGACAACTTGTTAATTATCTTTTTCCTCCACCTCTCTTCTCAATCTCTCATCCCTTGCCTTTTCTCTTCTACCTCCTTTGTGAGCTAAGGGAGGTCCTAATGACAACAAACTTAGACTGTTCTCAGCTGCCTATGCCACGATATATCCATCGAAGCATCCACAAATGGAGGAGGACGTGGCAATAACATATAGCGAGCTAGCAACAACGACGGTGGTGAAGGAGCCCAATCCCTAGTTTCTAGAGAGTTGTATTCATTATCGCGTCACCTGGCCTCCCCACCCCTAGCACACCTCTGTCTCAACTTCTTCAAGATCTACCTACTCGAATGTAGCAATGCCTTACTCTTAGCTAGGTGGCCATGCAAGAGGGGGAATCTCGTCGTCGAAGGCATGAGCTTGGGCTCGCTGTCGGCTGCGCGTTAGATTTACAGTGGAGGTGTTGATCGAAAAGAAGGGATTCGGTGAGAGAAAGGAGGATGGAAGAGGGGAGAACATAGTAGAAAAAGCCGGACCAGCCAGCGAACCATCCGAACGTCTAGGTCACGGGTCGAGCGGTTGGACCGCTAGGTCAACCGGTTCAAGTGCAGGTGAAAAACCGTTATTTACTCCATATATTCCTTTCAAACACTATATATGTGTTGCTCTATTGGCTAGCAAAGTTTGCGATCTCCCAGAGACCCACGTTTGAGTCCCATGCGCACTAGATTGAGTGCTATTTTTGCCTGTTGGGCTGCAAATTGCTGGTTTGGGCCTTGATTTGGCCCATCCTTTTGTGTTAGCCGTTTGGGCATGCCGGTTTTTTTCCCCTCCGGTCTTTTTGCGTGAACATACTGGCCACATCGTTGGTTCCAGTTTTTCCCCGTTGAACCGCCGGTCCGGTCTGGTTTTTTGCACAGGGGGGAGAAGGAAGCTAAGCAGTATTGCAAGAGTTGCGGCCCTAGATTTGGTTGTGGACTCATTGTCATCTTTGCCTCTGTCAACAGTTAGTGCCACCACCTCCTCGAGCTCTGTCGTCTCTAGCTACCTCCACCGAGTATCGTCTTCTCCTCGAGCTTGTGTCCTCCCTTAGCACTGTCTTCTCCTCATGCTTTGCTTTACCAAGTTTAATCTCCACCGTCTCACCCGCTATGTTCGGCGATCGAGCTTTGCTTCCATATTGCCCCCACCGAGCGTGCAAGAGAGTATTAGGGGGAGGAGGGGCAGAGAGCAGGGTGTGCGGTGGATAGGTGGGTCCTATATATAGAGAGAGAGAGATGCGGAGGAATGAGAGAGATGATAGGTGGGTCCTATATGTTTTTAAACTTTTAATGTTGATTGGGTTGTCACGTTTGGTGCCACATAGCAATGGTGATCAAATAAGCGCGATAAAAAGGTTGAAGCTATCAAATATAGAGGTGTTTTTTAAACAAAGAGAAGAGTAGTGAATACTTTCTCCATCCCAAAGAAATATAGTTCTATGTTATTTAGCATAAATTAAGATATGGAAGAAAAAACAACTCTAGTGCTCCCAATATTCATGTGTGTATGCTTACTGGTGTACTCCCTCCGTCCCAAAAAAAAAGGCAAACCCTGGGTATCCGTGTCCAACTTTGACTGTCCGTCTTATATGAAATTTTTTTATAATTCGTATTTTTATTGTTGTTAGATGATAAAACATGATTAATATTTTATGCGTGATTTGTCTTTTTATTTTTTTTCATAATTTTTTAAAATAAGACGGACGGTTAAACGTTGGGCACAGAAACCAGGGTTTGTTTTTTTTTTTGACGGAGGGAGTACGTAATTAAGTGTCAAGTGAGTCATTGTCGAATCGTAACACCCTGCCAAAAAAAACAATATAAAAATTTGAAATTTGTGTCAGTGCTAAACTCAAGCTAGAAATATCAATATTTTTTGGTATTAGGCGTCTGAGCGAATGAGACGCGTTTAAAAGCTGCACCCACCTTCGAGTCTACCTCCCATATAATTTCCCACCGCGACAATTTTGAGGAGACATTAAAGTATTTTGTATTGCAGTTAATGAATCTTTCCAAATGTTACATATGACGTTGTTCGGATGTTTCAATAAGTATTTTATTTTGCTTAATTTGTCATTTTGATGGTCCAATCGTTTTCTCTCATATCAGGGTCCTAGAAATGTAGTAGTACACACAAAGAAAATATCTGCATACACTAGTTCAGTGAAGCATCGATCGAATTAATCCTCGTCTCGTTCTCTGATTTCTCCGTCCGTCTTTCAAATCGCCGGTGCCAATTAATCACACCGCCGCGCGTCCACTCCATAACCACTCTCAGTTTCAGGTGGTGAAGCAGAAAGCGTAGTTCTCCCTCCGTCAAAAAAAATCTCATATCCAGATTCATCCATAATATATCGTTCTCATTCTCATGTTCAGATTTATCTTTAGGATTTAATTCTTTTTCGACAGAGTAAGTAAGAAATTGTGACGCGCCCCCACAATAATTAGGAAGAAAAGAAAAGAAAGAAAGCTACTGGGTATAGAGCGAGTGGGCTGTGGTTGCCTTGTTCCTTGGGCTTGCCGGCCGACCATGCAAGCAAGCAGTAGTGTACTAGTGCAGCGGCAGGCTCTTGGCCTTGGCCCAAACGGCGATCAGCATCAGCAAGCTAGGCCTTAATTTAGTCCTACCTCTCTAACCAACAGAGAATTAACGGCAGCAGCTTATAAGGTGGATTGCCTGGAGACTACCTAAAATTGCAGGTTAATCACTCATGTTACAGTGTAGTGCATTTTCACTAGCCATTGGTCACTGGCTGCAGCGTCGACCGCTATCCGCCAGCGAAAATATTGCATTTTCATTGGCTTTGGCCGCTGGCTGCAGCGTCAACCATTGAAGAAAACTTAAAATGTCCGACAGGAAAAAAATTTTTAATAGTGACAGCATCACTACCAACATTTTAAACATTTTAAGTAGCATAGATACGTATCTAGAAAGTCCTAACGTTCATGAAACAGTTTTCTTGGGTTAAGATCCTAGCCAGTTTCTTCATTTCAGATTTTAGCTTTCTTCTTTTTCTTGTAGTCTACTACATCGGTCCCAAAAAGAATTAATCTACGATAGAATATGACCTAGGCAAAGTAAAAAAAACGGACCAGAGATCGACCCGCTGGCCGTCGGTTCACCGATCAAACCGCCGGTTTTTATTTATTAATAGTATATTTGATTTGCATTATTTTAAATATAGAATCATCACAAATTGGTGAAAATATGCATAAATAAACTAGTATATATATTATTATATGGTCACAACGTCAAAAGAAATAAATGTAGTGTGGTAACATAATAAATTCATAATGCCATACTACTAGGACAAATTAAAAACTGGTTCGATTATTAAAAAATCACAACCAGTTCACCGGTTCTCATAAAAACTGCCCGATTCACCGTTCTTTTACCTATTCGATTGCAGGGGCCGTCTTTTTGTTGAACCGAGCCGCCAAGGTTGCCGGTTCCGGTTTTTTCCGATTCAACCGTCGATCTGGTCCGTTTTTTTTACTATGATCCTAGGACAACCAATCCGGGTGTCACATCCTAGTTGATTCATTTTGGACGGAGTGAGTACATTTAATACATATAAGAATTTAATTTGAAACATGGTATTGGCAACCATTTTCTGTATCTTCGTTAATTTGCTAATCAATAAAGATCCATCTTTTTTTCCTCGAGAGAAAAAAAAAGATGAAATCGCTATCTGTCCAGTTGGTAATCACCTGTAACAAAATTTATATCACGCTTCCAGATGGCCACCCTATAATATAGCGTCTGGTACTTCTACAATATATATCAACGGCCTCCCAAAATATATAGCTCGTTTAATAATCCATGTCTAAAATTACAATCTTGGCCACTATAAAGACCCGACTATTATACGCTGAATTAATACAGATTAATTAATAATGACCCACGTTCGTTTTAGTTTGAGTGTCAAATGATATAGGGAATCACAAGGGATCCTTGGTTTAGTTTGTTTTCTCACGATAGTAATACATAATAAGCCAACATATATATACTACGTACTCTGTAAGCTAAATAAAATGGAAACTAGAACTGTGATGATCCGTGTGATGCCAATATCCACAAAACAATTTCAATGATCTCAGCGGTTGCATTTATTAAAAGGAAGACAATCATGGTCTAACCCTTAAAAAATGAAAACCAACCCTGGTGACATCCCAAGACTGTTTTGAAGATTGTTGTGTCACTATCGCAGCTAATTAATTAAAATGTGGCCACACATGATGACGACTTATATATATAATCTAATGTACCATGTGCCAATGACTCGATGTCATCATGTTAATTATCATCGCAGCTGAGTTACAAACCTTTCACCATGTTAATTATCATCATTGTAAGTCGCAGGCACGTCTGCTGTGCTGCCGTGCGTGGTGGCAAAACACCTTCAAATTAAAACTGAACACGAGAGAGATTATCTTCTAAATTGGCTTTCATATTTTTAAGAATAGGATCGTTCTATTAAATGGCACATTCTCCAGACTCTTAAAACAGTACTCTCTCTGTTTAAAAAAAAATTAAACTAGAAATAGATGGAACTATCTAGAACAACGAATCAGGTCAGTCGATCCGTTTCTAAGTTATTTTTTCTGAGACGGAGGGAGTACGTGTGATTAAGTAAAAAACTTAATTTTATATATGAATTTCTTATCAAACTGTTTTAAATCCATTATAAATTTTATAATACTCTCTCCGTTTCATAATGTAAGACTTTCTAGCATTATCCACATTCATATAAATATTAATGAATCTAAATATATATGTCTGTATATAAAAATCCAAATCCTACGCATGCTTATGTCTGGAAACAGAGAGAGTATATATATTTTTGTTTACTAGTTTTGTGCCTTACGTATTAATCTTGTTTCATTGTTTTCTGCTTTTCGTGATAGATAGTAATTTTTAATCTATTGTTATATGGTAATTAGACCATAAGTTTTACATGACATGTAGCTAAAGATGAATGTATAAACACCCACGAATGTGTCGTCCCAACAAACACTGAATGGACAAAGGCTGAGGATATTAGTTGCATGTTTGTGTACAATTTGTATGAACAAATCAATATTCATTTACTAGTGGAACATCATGTGCGTAAAATATGGATACCAAAATTTAATCCCTTGAGGTAAAACCATACACCTCAAACAAAACTCTAGTTTAAGCTCGAAGGTCTCTTGGCCGGATAGAAATGTGAAAAACAAAATTGCAATCCTGATTAAGAGTACTCTTCACCGCTCTAGTACTTCTTAAGCCGAAGCGCTGTTCTGGTTTTACATTTCAGATGACGAGAAGAAGACCTCCCATTTAAAGGACCTGCAGTCACTTGGCCCCTTGAAGATCTTTCGTGTCGACTTGAACGAAGAAGGAAGCTTCGATGAGGCCATCACCGGCTGCGTCTTCGTCTTCCTCGTCGCTGCACCGGTGGTCGTCGACTCAGAAAATCTTGAGGTAATTGAATATTGATCGATTCATTACACAAAATTAACATAGATATTAGTTTTAACTTAACTTCCAGTAACACCACTATTTTGTTGCTAACGGTTGATAGTCAAATTTAGTAGAAAGCTAAATTTGGGCTAAGTTCAGAAAGCTATGAAAGCCTTCCCGCAGGGGCTGGTCTGACTGAGCACCTAGCTGTCTGACTGACCCTTAGGAACAGGTCTGACCGATGGCGCGCCCTACTGTTATTTGACCGAAGAAATTTGGCTGATCTAACCAGCAATCCTAAGTCTAAGTTAATTTTGATTCCATATTATGCTTCTTTGCTTGGGACCGGGGTTTGTTTTTATTATAGTCGTAATATACCTCTAAACCTAATAGAAATGAAGAGACTTTGTTTCATGCTAATAAACTATCAATCGATCATGAACTGTTCTTTTCCTTTACCCTTTACCTAGGAGTAGTTTAATAACATAAATATTCATTAGTTCGCATGGTAAGACGTCCATGCTCGTTCCGAGTGTGAAACCCACGGTAGGTTTTTATATATATCGTCGCCAAGATCAGAAGCTACATCGTTGTTTGATCATAAAGAGGTGTCAGCACCAACTCTGCATATATATATTTCCTGCATGCTGCATTTTCTTAATTAAGTTTTTTTTATTATTTTTTCCATCAGGAGGACATTACTGAAACCAACGTCCGAGGCACTTTGAACGTGATGGGGTCCTGCGTGAGAGCGAGGGCGACGGTGAAGCGCGTGGTCCTGACATCGTCGGTCGCCGCCGTGCTCCACGACGGCAGGACGACGATGCAAGGCGGCGACGATGGGCATGTGGTGGTGGACGAGTCGTCATGGTCCGACCTCGACTACCTCGCTACCCTGCCCAACCACCCATCTGCAAATTGGGTATGTATGCATATACTTTCTCGTCTCTGAATATTTTACGCTGTTGACTTTTTAAAACATATTTAACCGTTCATCTTATTTAAAAAATTTAAGTAATTATTAATTCTTTTCATATTGTTTGATTCATTGTTAAATATAATTTTATGTATATATATAGTTTTACATATTTCACAAAAGTTTTTAAATAAGATGAACGGTTAAACATGTTTAAAAAAAGTCAACGGCATCAAATATGTAGGGACGGAGGGAGTATATCGGAAAATTTATGCCGCTCCTCTATTTGTTTTGATCGATGGAAGTATGATTTATGATTTGATATGTACCAACTAAGGGCTCATTTGAAACAAAGGATTCTCGGAGAAATTCAATCCTATGGATACCCCCTAAGGATAACCATACTTACTTTTTGAATTTGTAGTTTCAACCGAAAATAATTATATTGATTTGCAGAAAAATCTTGTACCGTATTGGAATGTGGAATTGAACTGATGATCTATGTGAAAAATCAGTCTCTCTTTCTCTCTTGGCTGAAGTGCTGCATGGGGAGGTAATTGCGTGCATATATGCTTTGTTTGAGATACAGGCTAAGGCGTACGGGGCAGGGAAGGTGCGGTCGGAGAAGGAGGCAAGCAGGGTGGCGCGGGAGAACGGCATCAGCCTCGTCACCGTGCTCCCCGTCATCGTCGTCGGCGCCGCGCCGGCGACCAGGGGGTTCAACTCCAGCTCCCTCGTCCTCAGCTTGCTCGCCGGTGAGCGCTCGCGCGCTCGATCGATCGCCGGCCGCCGTGTCGTCTCGTCCATGGCTTTTGCAATTCTCACCTGTGACTGTGAAAGGTAATTCGGTTCATTGATCAGGCCATGAGGCGACGACGGAGATGCTGAAGGCCACCCAGGATCTCGCCGGCGGCACGACGCCGCTGGTCCACCTCCGCGACGTCTGCCGCGCGCAGGTGTTCCTCGCCGAGAAGGGCGAGGCGGCGGCGGCGGCGGGAGGGAGATACCTCTGCTGCGGCGCCAACACCACCGTGGCGCGGCTCGCCGGCTTCCTCGCCGGGAAGTTCCCGCAGTACAATGTGAAAACCGATGGGTACGTGCCTTAGCTTTCTCCATCCCAAAATATAAAAAAAATAGTTAAACGGAACACATTACTTGACAGTTTTTAAATTGATTTGGGGCATGGGTTGTAATTAAATGTTTGTTTCTGTGTATAAATTTATCTACCACTTATAGAATCATCAAGACAAAAGGACACGTTTATGACTAATTTTTTGTTAATAATACTGCTAACATAAATATTTTTGTTACTATAATACTTTCTCCGTATTTTAATGTATGACGTCGTTGACTTTTTAACCAACGTTTGACCACTCGTCTTATTCAAAATTTTATGTAAATATAAAAATAGTTATGTCATGCTTAAAGAACATTTGATGATAAATCAAGTCATAATAAAATAAATTATAATTATATAATTTTTTAAATAAGACAAAAGGTCAAACGTTTGTCAAAAAAAATCAATGGCGTCATACATTAAAATACGGAATATAATTTTTTTTTGGATAATGAGCTTTCTTTAATTCGGTCTTTATATCTACGAATGATATTCACGGCTACGTGAGCGTACGTAGTATATGAACAAAACTTTTTGTACGAACATTTAGTCGTAAACAAGACAAAACGTTTACGACAATACATGTTTTGATGATGAAGAATACATTAGTCGTAAAAAATACACGTTTACGACAAAAACGTATGTCTTGATTTAATAAGCTGCTAAAAATACACGTTTACGACACATATACTGCTAACAAAACGTTTTCTATGACACAATATACGTATGAAAAAAAATTGTTCATAATTATCTTTTAGTTTGTTTTAATTTTCTACAGATTATCATAGCGTAGTATATTACTCTCTGCGTCTCATAAAAAATCAAACTAGCATTGGATGTGGCATATCCCAGTAATACGAATTTAAACATAGGTATATCCATATTCCTAGTACAAGTATATGCCACGTCCGTTACTATGTTGGTTTTTTATGAGATGGAGAGTGTATGTGTCATCATGTATGGTGGTGTGCAGGTTTGGCGACGTTGCCGAGGAGCCAAGGATGTTGATCTCGTCGGAGAAGCTGGTCGGGGAAGGGTTCGAGTACGAGGGCAAGAACCTGGACGACATGTTCGACGATGCTGTCGAGTACGGCAAGGCGTTGGGGATGCTGCCATAAGCCGTAGTGATGATACAGTAGCAGACTGATGTGTGGGCCCGGACCCACATGTGAGTTACTGCTACTGCATCAGCAGTGAATCTGCATCCGTTCGTAACATGTGGGTAGAATGTAGTATATGCCCTTGCTATACATATCCATCCGAATAATCATGAACATTATCGAAATAATTTGATAGCATGGATTGTGACGTCATACTACAATATTTCATATATGCATGTATAAATTCGATGCCAAATGAAGAGAAAAATGAATCCACATGTGCATGGTCTTGACTATTTTACTGCCTAAGTTGATTTATTTTTCTAGATGTTTTGACCGAGTTTGATCATCCAAATTTGTGTAGTGAAATACAACAGCATAATCTATGTTTTCAATTTTGTTTTATTTTTTTAACAAATCAAATGACTTGCGCAAAACGGGTACTTTTCCCTGAGTAAAATGACTTCTTCCGCAGCTTCGTTCAATTTTTTGGGTTTGGTTTCGACTTTCTTCAACGTTAGTTGTATTTTGTCCATGACACGGAAAAGAATTCCCACCTTAGAATCCTATGAAGTAGTCTATCCACCCATGAGAATCATGGAATACCCCCAAAAGAGCACTCAATTGGGTTCGAATTTTTCCAAGCCCTATGAAACAGAGGTAAAAAAGAGATCACCGAAATGTTACTCACTGAACCAGTCTTTACAGCCTTACAGGAGCCAATTGAAGCAGTCCACTGCTGAAAACGTTGTCATGGTCCCACAGTGTAGGCTGAGATTAGTCAGTTGATGCTCATCAACCAACCAGAACGTTTCTGCATGATAAGTCATTTTACCCTTCTAAAACTTTAGTTTGAGATAACTCTGGCATGAAGTCCAATCACTCTACTTAAACATAAAAGGGATCCTTTTAAATGAAGAGGTCTTCATAACAATAAAAAAATTGAAGGCCATCTAAATTGATAGAAGCTGGCCGGCCGTTGAAAAATCAGGCCCAAAGGCAGATCACCATCCGTGTGATCTCCCCCAGTGATGTATACCCACCTCGTTTTTGACATAATACAACACAACTTTCCTCCCAGATACACAATGCATGGAACATGTACAGTGACGACGAAATACAAAAGAATTACAGTGACCACCACTAACCTATCTATCCTCTGAACAAATCTGAACAGTATGGTGCCGCAACTCAAACCTGTATGAAGTAGAAAAAAAGATCCAAAGAAGCTGTGGAGGCATAAACCAACACTGACTAAAGATGAACCGCCATGGACTTTCAGTTGGTCTTGTATAAACGTCCTGTTCTCACAATGGCGGGGGGGCAACCGTGAAGGATAAATCATGTGGCCGCAAAGCACCTTGAACTATGTCTTGCACAGTTTTGTTCCTTCTACAAACTTCTGAGATTTCTGCAAATCTATCTGTTATGGAACCAAGACTAGATCCTGATGATGCATCAGATATAATATTCAAGAATCTTGAACGTTCTGAATCTGTCAAGGCTTGTGGTGGTATAAGGGTAATACATTCCCTTGCCCAACTCAACATGTTCCCACCAAATGATCTGCTAAGGGACACCAGAACATACGAGACCTGCAAAATTCCAAGTAGAAGATGAAAATTCATCCTCGCATCAAACATAAGGTGGAGTCAGGATCTAGATTTCTAGCATTTCCTGTAACATTTTAAAGGGAAGACGGTTTCTTAAGGCCTTTCTTGGGAAGATCTCTATTTTACAAGCACAATCAAAATTCTTACAAATCAGTGAATTAACAAAACTGTCAAATACTGTTCGTACAATCAAAAGCAAGAACCTGGAGAAGACAATTGGAACTAAAAAAAAGGCAGGCTATGAGTACGAACAGTTTGTGCCAATTTAGCCAACACCTGTTGCTTCAGGCCATAGTAGGTGCGTGGGACACAAACAAGGTCTTGAAAAGCTTTGGAAAATGCAGTTGGAAGCATTTGAACAAATAGCACTTCCAGTCACTCTATTCATAAAAAGGACTGAACTGATCGCACAGAGCTGTAGGGGATGGAATAATAGGCTAGGCAGAGCTCATTGAACAGTGATTGAATTCAAGAACACATCCATACAAATACAATAAAGTGTAAACCATCGGAATATATTTCAACATCTAGTTCAAGTGTTGACCACAATTTGAGCATATATAGTGAGGTGACATCAGCTGTTTGATAAGAGATGCCACCTAGTATTTTTTTTCATTATTCCTGTTTTATGGATGCAATATGCATCTTGTGCACCTAAATTTCAAATTACACACAAAATTGCTTCCTACAATCTTGTCAACACAGCTTGAAACGAGGATACAACAGCAGATTTGCCCTCAAACATCCCACATTGTAGTTCAATGTTATTAAAAAATAGCATCAGTTTATTAAAAATAATCGGTGAAAACAGTGGTAAGTGGGAATTCTCCAATGATTTAACTTTTATTTGGGATGGCAGTAGATTATCATGACATGGATGTTTTGTAGTATTCCAGAGCATTTGAGATGAAATATTATGGGATAATAGTTGGAAAAACAATTTACCTAAATTTAGTCTGATTGTCAAGCAGAACAGTAGACATTAAATAACGTTTTCATGTCAATGAAGATGAGCAGAGAGTAATCCAACAGAAAATTGAACCTTAACGCAACAGACTATGAAATCCTCAAAAAGGAACTTGATGATTCTGAAGACCAAATTAGGTAGCGCTCTTTTCCGCTTATCCACCAAATTATTGCCGCAAATTATTTGCTCCATGCTTATTAAAATATGGTTTCTAAAAAAAAACTTTATTTTACTGTATTGCTTAGAGCACTCGTTCTAAGCTATTTGTTAGGTTTTTAATATATAATATTTAATTTATCTGTCAGTTTTCATCCGCATTTCATCACTTTAGAACAGTGAGAATTTGGATTATTTTTCCCCAAAAAAAGGGATAAAAGAACATGTTTTCCAAGGCTTTTTAAAAGTGAATGCTTCATTCTTCTTATCAATTATTATTTTAATTGGTGACACAGAACTCTAATATTGGGTTTGTTAGTTCATATTTTTTTCAAGCATGAAATTTCAGTAAGCAGCACAATAAGAAATAGGAAACACCATATAACACACAATCATATTGTGTACCTCTTCCAAGCGACTAGATGGCAGAGCTCCTGTTAAGGAAGCAACCATTATTCTAGTAAGTACTGCACCCCGCTGAAGTATAACTGTATTTATTAATTCTCGGTACTTTTCCCCCTCAGGTGATTTTGCAAGATCAAATACATCAGATAGAAAAGATAATATAGACTTGCATGCCTCCCTGTTACATAACACAAGAAAAAGAAAGACAATAAATTAGCCATCACAAAACCGCATTAAAGAATTGAGCACAGAATATAAAGCTCATGTATAGTGCATTTCTCTCTGACGAGTCAGGTAGACTATTCGAGGCACTACCTGTGCTGTATAGTTATACCAACCATTGCACAGTCAACCAATCTTGGAAACATCTCTGTAGGTACAAATAAATCTGGACAGTAACGAATACATCTTGATGCTAGCAGGAAGCAATCATCAGCTATATCCGGTCTAGCTGTAAAATCCTGCAAACATAGATAACGCAATTCAGTAATTACTTGTCATGTTGTTGATCATAATTTGAATATTTGAATTTCCCAGATTAAAAAAAGAAGAAGAAGAGAACAGAACCTGAATAGTCCGAAGGAGCTGTATTGTATGGCCAAAAAGTGCCTGAATCAGACTTGCAAGATAGTTTGCACATGCTGGATCGGACCCAAATATCTAATAAAAAATATTGTCAGAAAATCAAAGATACAACAAAAAATGCATTGATAAGATCTTTCAACATATATAACCTTAATAACTTCACTCGACAAGTAAAGGAAGCAAGCCTGATTGTGTTGCTGATACAGAGTTTGGATTTCTTCAAGCATTGCACCAATGGTGAATCCCATGAACCTCCCGCATGTCCTTACCTTCATCACCAGAGCAAAAACTCATTATTGATTTATTATGGAAGTTTAATCATTCATAATTGCACGATGCTCAACTGATACCAACAGACAGACACTCCCTCTGTATTTTAATGTATGACACTATTGACTTTTTGACCAACGTTTGACCATTCGTTTTATTCAATTTTTTTGTGAAAATATGAAAATATTTATGTTATGCTTAAAGAACATTTGATGATAAATCAAGTCATAATAAAATAAATAATAATTACATAAATTTTTTGAATAAGACGAATGGTCAAACGTTGGACGAAAAGTCAACGGCGTCAAACATTAAAATATGGAGGTAGTAATAATTTATAAGGCATTTAGGCAACTAACATGGGCACTCTCTATTATAGTGAAGTACAGAGTGGAGGAAAAATACTTAACATGAAATTTAGCATTTGCTACTTTTGGAAAGTGTGCGCGCACTGCTGTCGAACTAATCCTAGAATTTAGCCAAACCACCCTTATGCACTTGTGACAGTATTTGTATTCCATCAGAGTGTACATTGTATTAAAAAAAACTTCCAGACCTAAATAAAATAAAATGGTAAACTCACAGCAAATTTGCAAGAACGACATAGTGACTCCATGGTCCGTGTATCCCATGCCCGTCTGCAGAAGTAGCAATACAACAGAAACGGATGAAACATTTCCTGAATATAATACCAAAAGTAACTTCCCCATATCTGTTTTGTTGAAATACTCACTGATCAAAAATACTTTTCAATGTTGGCCAATATCTATTGACAGCGTCAGCAACTACTTGTGGAAGTTTCACATTGCTGCAAAAAATCAGAGAATTTAGTAAATAAAGAACAAATTTCTGTGGAAAAATATATAAGTGGGAGATAACCACCTAAAAATGCATGATAATCGGTCTATATGCAAGGTTAATTGCCGAACAGGAACTTGCTGAAGCACTGTATCTCCTTGCTGGATTATTTCCTATTATATCGGTATATACTATATTAGCATTGATAAAAATCGAAATCATCAAATGACTGTAAAAGATCAATACTAACCTGCAAGGGATTAATTACTGGTTGGCAGATTAACTCCAATGCTCTTTGAGCATGGTCTGGTGGGAGAGTCGTGATAACCACACTGATGAGTGCAAGAACATGTAAGGTGAGATTTTGAACAAAACCAAAACAAAGGTAGCAACAAATGACTAAAGCACTGGTGGGAACAAACGAACCTTAAGGCTTCAACCAAATGCAATGAGTCCTCTGAAGAAACTTTGTAACCACCAACTCCACTTAATGCAATTTGGTAAATCTGGAAAAGGCCATCCAACGAACCAGAGAACTTTCTCCTACAGTCTGTCATAGACAAGGAGACAATTTAGGTACAGAGTTAGTTGTAACAAGGCAATTTTATGTTAAGATTCAACCAGCAAGGAAATAGACGAATATCTCATGGACACTACAGTACATCACAACTACAAATGTTAAACTACAAGGACTAACAAGGCCACACAAACCATTTCAGTTACAGGAAATAGCTCAAGAATATCAAAATTTTGAAAAAAAATATATGAACACAAATAACAGAGATTCTGTTAAGGTATGGGAATACTCAAGTCATACCTTCACATATATACTTGAATGCCACAGAAGCAGCTGCAGCTGTTTCCTCTGAT